ATCTGAAAATCCATAAACATGAGGGTTGGGGTCTTAGGGTGATCTCAAATCGGGAATCCAGTGATAGGACCAGAAGAGGCCACCCAGTAAGATAAAGGATAAAATCACTCTTGCAAAAGATTACAAAATGCACAAAAAGCATATTTAACCAATTATATTCAGATATGTCCTGAAAAGTTTTATTCTACGATAAATACAGAACATCTGCTTGTCTTATAGATCATTTCATCTTTTAGAGTAGAGGACTCAATGATGTCAAAACTACTTTGGACATAGTTCTGCTCTTCAGGAACACTGGTTAAAGAAATGATAAGAACTTTGGGGAGAAAAGTTCCAGTTGGGGATTTTAGTCCATTATTCTTAACTACTTTGAAAAGATACTTTTAGACAGTTAAATCCTTTAGTTAATCTCCATAGCAATGGCAGATTTGGGGGATTATATTTTTACTCTTCCAAGTAAACTTAGATGAGCTTATTAATTTCAGTTAAAATCTCATTGGGACTTTGACTATATAGATTTATTTGAGAATTGATATTTGTTCAACTTGAGCCTTCTGTCCAGAAACAGTGTCTGTTTATTCTAGTTATTTTATGTCTTTCAATAAAATATTATAGATTTTTCATATAGACTTTATTTCTTGCAAAGCTTATTCCTAGGCATATCATAGTTCCTGTTGCTACTGTGAATACGATTTTTTTTAACCCCTTACATTTCATAGTGACTCCTTTTCTAATATCTTTGATCTTTATCTTTGAATGGCAGGTGTACACTGGGGCTATGAAGAAACAAAGACTTTTCTTGATATCCTCCGTGAGACTCGGTTTTATGAAGCACTTCAAGCCTGTCATCGGAAGAGCAAATTGTATGGGGCTGTGGCTGAACAACTTCGGGAGTGTGGCTTCCTCCGGACACCAGAACAATGCAGAACCAAGTTCAAAAGCCTTCAGAAGAGTTACCGCAAAGTGAAAAATGGCCATGTGCTAGAGTCCTGTGCATTCTACAAGGAGATGGATGCCCTAATTAACTCTCGGGCATCTGCCCCTTCCACCAGCACCCCAGAAGAAGTCTCTTCACCCTTAAGGCAAGAAAGAGAGGGTATTGAGGTTGAACATGAGGAACCTACAGGTTGGGAAGCAGAGGAAACCTCACAGGAGGCAGTAATAGAAGATTCTGGCAGTGAGAGAATGAGTGAGGAGGAAATTATACAGGAGCCAGAATTCCAAGGACCTCCAGATCCAAATGGTAAGAATTATGAAGGGGTTTTAGTCTAAGAGAGGAGAAAGTGTGATTTACTGAAAAATCAGTAGATCTGGCACATTGCTTATGAATATTTTACTCATTCAACAAATATTTGAAAGCCATGTGCTATTTGAGGAACAGGGTATATAACAATGAATGAAACAGTTCCTGTTCTCATGGTACTTTTAATTCAAAGGAGGAACTCATATTTTAGTGACTTGGTTTTGGCATCTTGGTTTTTGCCTGTATAGGTCAGTGTATCTCCTGGAAATGCAGTGAGGTAGAAAAACTTAGAATTATACATGAGAAAAAACTTGGATAAAGGAGGTGTGTCAATAAGCTCAAAACAGAAATATCTCATAGCTCTATGTGATATGTATGAGAAAAAAAGATAAGCAAAGACACAATGAGAGAGAGACTATCCTGGTCCGGAGCTCCACCTTGCATCTTTCCCACTGACTGCTGGATACCCTTATGGGCATCTCACCAGTAGCTCAGGCTTAATATGTTCAAAATTAAAATGTCATTTTCTGCCTACTTCATGGCTCTTCTCCATGGTCTCCCACAGCTCATCCAGATTTAAAACTTCAGAGGTGATCTTGATACCTCCTCACTCATCATCGTCCAGGCAGGTGACACATTTTGTCAATGGTTGTAGACTATCATGTCTGTTGATCCCTTCAGTTACCATAGCCACTACTGTAGTCCAATCTTTCTCTGTCTCTTGCCTAGACTATTGTAAAAGTCTCCAAAACAGTTTTTCCCATCCATACTTTATTGAAGTTTTACATCCCTTTTTAATCTGAGCTCATCTTATTCTTTTAGCCTTGTGTGTTAGTATTTTTCGTCCTACACTCTATGCTTATTCAAAGCAAAACTACTTGCTATTTCCTACATGTACCTTAAGCTCTCTCACATCTAAACTTTAGCTTGTGATGTTCCCTCCACCTGAAATGTCCTTGATTTCATATATTTTCATGTTCAAATCCTCTCTCAACTCTCATACTGTCTGTCTTATGGCACAGAACACTTTATATGTCCTAAGATCTTCCAGTAAATGGTGAGCTCCTGAGGGACATGAGCTCTGTCTTTTGGTAGCACTAAATTAATCCCCCAAGTATCATTTGAATGTATGAGGTAGTGTAGGAATAGTTTCTTGAAGCAAGAGGCTCCAGTTTGCCTGAATTGACTACAGAAGCCCAGCAAGCAAAAGTAATGTCCAGTTTGCTCCAGTAATGTCCATTATGCTCTCTGATAGTATATGAGAAATTCTAAAGGCTTAAATTTAAGTCCTATATAATCCTGGTTTTGATAATTATGGAAACAGAGTCCTTGCGAATCTTAAGGTGAGTTCCAGACCTATCCTCAAATTATCAGGTTCTGTCTGAGCCAACTGCTAGGCTGAGACTTCCTCCAAACCCCAGAACAACGTTGGACTCAATCAGAAAGCTTTAAAAGAACTGCTAAATGAAAGATGGCATTGTTGGAGTTTTTTACTTAAGTTACTGGATTGAATGATGGCTGCCCTCTTCTCCCCAACCCATACCACAGCCACCACACTTGGGAATGAGAGTTACTAGCAGTTTCAACTAAATGTGTAGAAGGAAATTAATGTTGACACTGGTAAGTAGAAACAAGGTAGGGTAGAAGATGCTTAAGAATGAGGATTTTGGAATCAAACCTGAATTGGGCCTCAGTTACACAGCTTGTCTCAAATATTTATGGAGGAAATAATACGATGTTTAGAATTGGCTTCAAAGTGGTCTAGGTAGAGGGAACAGAGAGTGTGTGGGAGTAGAAATCATAGTATTGACCATAAATAGATCATTGTTAAAGGTAGATAAGTGATTCATGGTTGTTCATGATAAATACTATTCTCTTTACTTTTCCATATGTTTGAATTTCCCATAATAAAAAGTTAATGCAAAAATCATACAGTTAATAAGTGACCAAGATGGGATCAGAACCAGAGCTCTGTGATTCCAAAACTTGTGTCTCTTCACATATCATGATCTCTGTCCAGAAAACTGCACAAAAAGGCTGGATCCAAGATGTACCTTGTAGTGAACATGAGATGCAGATGAAAGAGTGAGGAGAAAATAATTTCAGTTTGGGGAACAGTGAGAATTAAAATTTGACTTAGTGTGGTTAATTTGACAACCAGAAAAACAACGAAACGAGAACATATGAGGAGAAGTAGGAAGTATTCTTGGATAGGATATGATTAGATACTGGTGAATTTAGTTCCTGAAGACCCTTGAGGAATTTGGACTTGGTCACTAGTGGTCACTAGAATATATTCTAGTGTACTCTAGTATACTCTAAAGACTAGCATAGTGTAGTATATTTTAGTATAGGTGTGAAATAATGAAGACAGGATGAATTAGAGAGGAACTTCAGGAAGATAAGCCAAGTTGCTCCCATGTTAATCAGGATATGGATGAGGAATAATAGTCTGGATTATAATTCAATTCAGAGAACATTTCTGAAAGCCTATTCTATACTGGGTGTTGTTGGCTTGTTCATGAACTGCAAGAAAATATGACATAATCAATGAAGAGTCATAGGATCTCAGGCTAGTGAAGTAGATAGAGATCATAATATACCAAGCCTTGCAGGCCAGCTTAATTATTTATGTTCATATAGGACTTGCGTGAAATTTGTATTGTTTTTGTTTTTTTTCCAGATTTTGAAATTGGAAGTAGCATCAAGGAGGATCCAATGCAGGTAATATATAAGGACGTGGAACAGCATAGGGCATTAATAGAAAAGTCCAAAAGAGTTGTTTCCCAGAATACAGATCTTGGTAAATATCGTAAAAGGGAATGCATCTCAGGAAGACAATGGGAAAACCTTCAAGGAATTAGACAGGGAAAGCTGATATCTCAGCCTAGAGATGTAGGGAAAACTGTAGTGCATCAGAAACTTTTCATGGGGAAGAGACCCTACAGACTTCTCAAATACGGAGAAAGCTTTGGAAGGAGTGCTCGTCTTATGTGCAGGATGACCCACCAGAGGGAAAATCCTTATAAGTGTAGTGTCTGTGGGAAGTGCTTTGGTAGAAGCAGGAGCCTAATCAGACACCAAAGAATCCACACAGGAGAAAAACCTTTTAAATGTCTTGACTGTGGGAAAAGCTTTAATGACTCCACAAATTTTGGTGCCCACCAGAGAATCCACACAGGAGAGAAACCCTACAGATGTGGAGAATGTGGAAAATGCTTTAGTCAAAGCTCCAGTCTTATTATACATCAGAGAACCCACACTGGCGAGAAGCCCTATCAGTGTGGAGAATGTGGGAAAAGCTTTACCAACAGTTCTCATTTCAGTGCCCACCGGAGAGTCCACACTGGAGAGAATCCCTACAAATGTGTGGATTGTGAAAAAAGTTTCAATAACTGCACAAGATTTCGAGAACATCGGAGAATACACACTGGAGAGAAGCCCTATGGATGTGCCCAGTGTGGCAAACGTTTCAGTAAGAGTTCTGTGCTTACCAAACACCGGGAAGTTCATGTGAGAGAGAAGCCTCTCCCACACCCTCCATCTGTGTATTCCCCAGAGAATCCACATAGGGGAAAGACTGATGAATTCAGGAAAACTTTTTGATGATGATCTCTACTCTTCCCAAATGTCCCTTTAGCCATTGTATCCTAATCTCACTCTTGGAAGCAATCTTTTCTTAGCTATAAAATGTAATTCCCAAGATTAACTTGAGAATGTAAAGAAACTAAACACTTTAATTTCATCCTGTTCTCACCTCTGCCTCTAACTTGATCAGTCTGTTCCTCTTCTTCTATGTATCTCAACTTCTCCTTCAATAAAGTGGAGAAGGTAATTGTCTGAGTTCAGAATGAAAGCCTCTTCGATATGTTGAGGCCGCTGCTATTGGATTGCTAAGTCCAGCAGCATTCAAGGTCCTTCCATGTGGGTGACTTGTTTTCAAAAAGATAAAAATGCTGAAAGTTTTTTTTTCTTTTTCATTATCTACTATATGAGATCCTGGATGCAACTTGATAACAGATCTTCACATTTGGGTAGAACTCTCAGGAGTCTGATAAGAACTACATCAAATTCATCTTGGTTTTGAAGATATTCACAAAAGGAAAGTGAAGATTTTATAGCTTTCTTCAGAAGTCTGTTACAGTGTACCTTTTTGTGTCAAGAAGTTGATCCAAATAGCTAGGGAAGAATCCCTGTATTGTCACTGAAATCCTGTTACTAGTGTCTTGCCCTCCATAGAGATGAGAAGCAATTGATCACCCAGCATCCTTTTCTGTACCTGAAGACTTGAATCCCCTTGACTCCTGCTTCTCCAGTCTATGAGTAATTCCAGTTCCTTTAGCTGTTTCTCATAAGTCCTACACATACCTCTTAATTATTCTGGGTGCTCCTTTCTGACTCTTCTGGGCTACCATACCCTCCTCAGATTGAATGGGATGCATGCCTGTGATGTGTCTCACTAAAGTAAAGTAGAATTTCAGACACATTCTAGTTCTACCCTGTAACTTCTCTGGCTCTTATCTAGAACATGACTGGTATGTTGACATATTTTATACCTCCACACTTCCGCATAATACTGTATAGTAGTATTTCTAAACTTTAAGGGGGTATGGAAAGAGTATGGTACAGATCTGAGGCATTTATTAATAATATTTCTAAGACCTGTTGGACTCCTTAGGCCCACTTTATATCAGATAGCCACCTCAGTCCAGACCAATACTTCCAAGGCTAGCTGTGTTAAATATACCAGTCTCCGTTTCTGAGGCTTCTAGTCCCTGTTCATATTATACAACTCTCTAGCTCACTGAATGAAAATGAAATTAGTTATAAAAACTTGTAATTCAGAACTCCATTTTTGTTTTCTTTGTTTACCTGTTTGTCTGAAAAATCTCTTTGAGAACCCCTTGGCACTAGCCCAGTAAATGCTAAAGGAAAGGTTCCAATGGGGGAATAGTTAATTCATTCATGGAGTTATAGGTGAACCCAGAATTTGATTTTCTAGGGCCAGTTGCTTCAAGATGAGGCCAGTAGCATTTATACCCTTAGTACATATGTAGGTAAGCAAGGATGGCTTTGCTTTGGGGAGGGAGAAGTCATAAGTTTAGTGGAAAGACAACCAGAGTCAGGGCTGTGTCCAAATGATTATTTACTCTTATCTCTCCTTTCCTTTGTCCAAGTGCTCTCTTATTTGAAGACATCTGGAGATAACGTTTTTTCCTTTCAGTATGTTTGAATCTTTTGAAACCTGTTCAGCAAAGTACCAAGGAGGGTAGGCACTATGGAAAGCAATCCAGTTTATGGTGCCAGAATAGGGTGTGGCCTGTTGGAAGGCAGGTGACTCAGGTAAACCTTGATAAATGTTTCTGATTTATATTTGTTGGAAATGTTCTGATTGTTCACATCTCAGTAGGTTGATTTCCTATGTTGTCTGAATTATAGACTTCTAATGGTAAGTGCAGTTTCATGTTGGTCGTGTGCCTAGCACAGTATGATGTGTGTGGTGCCAGTGGGCTTGTGTTTATATTGTGTAGATGTTCTGGAATTCCTACTCTAGAGAAGATGCACATTAATAGAAATCACCACTTAGTAATATGTACACAGGATTGATAACTATATGGAAGCATGATTCAGGAAAGTAGATGACTTATTCATAAATATTTATTAAGCACTGTTATATGTAAGGCCATGTCGTAGTCCCAGTGAGGGATACAAAAAGGAACAAAGGGAGCATGGTGCCTGTACTCAAAGAACTTTAACAACATGACAGAGAAGTATCACAGCAAACAGCAGGGCCACTTATACCTATGTCAGTTACAAAAGATCAGTAACTCAGTTGTGGGAACACTACCTTCCTCACAGAAAAGTTTCTTTAAATTGCCTAAAATTATATTCTGTACCTCCATGTCTCAACCTTTCCCAGTGGCAGGAAAGTCTCAAGACCCATTCCATCTCTACTGGAACAAACAGATTGTGTTTAACTTACATATGCCTGGGATCAAGCTGAGGTGGAATTTGGATTCCCCTACCTATATTCCTAATTTTAAATGGTCTATTTGGATGTGTATTAATTTAATCAACTTTGTTCTGAAGTTCCTACGCTCCATGTTAGACCAAGGCTACTTGCTTCCATGCATTTTATCTTTTTTTCAGCTGGGACATGTAAGTCGAAATAAATAATCATGTTCTGATTAATGTGTCTTTTATAGGAGATAACATTGCTTTTATGAAGATCCGTACAAAAAGAGTTTTTTTCCCCTAAATCTTAGTATCTCAGTACCAAGGAAAGCTCTGATCCTAAGCAAAAAATAAAAAAAAGTTTTTATCTTAACAAACACTGTGATTTTTATAACTTACTGCTTTTTCTCTTTGTTCTGGCTGTTGGAAAGCTCAACAAACCTTACAGGCCACCTCAACCAACTACCTAAACCTACATTTATTCAATTTTTTCTTACTTTTTGGAAATTATGTCAATTCATATTTTTGAAAAGTAGAATAAACAGACATTTTAGTCTCTAACATCTTATCCAAGACATTTTGGAAATTGGTCTTGTATTTCCTGCCTATTCTTGCTTTGTTACTCCCACAAATACCTCCAGTTCTTACCAGTGATATTATTATACATTCAACCTTACTCTTTCCTCTAGAAAGAAACGTTGGCTTTTGTAAAGAGGAAACCCTCACACATATACTTGAACAGCTCAGGGCAGCCTGCCATGGTGGAATAAACATTAGACCAGAAGCCAAGAGAGACAAGTTTTAGTCTCATCACTGTCACTTAATGAATGTTCTTTGACAAATCATAGCCTGTCTCTGGGCCTTTGTTCCTTATGTGAAAAGAAGTTGAACTTGATTGCCACGTTGCTCTGGCTCTAATGTTTCATGAGTCTATTGACCATGGTATAGATAAGGAAGAGGTTATAAGACTAGGCTTCCAGCCTGGCTCACCACTGCATGCAGCATCCGGGCCATACAGAATCCATTTCATGCTTTAGGAAAGGGATGCTGTGACAGCAGAGTCAACTCAGGAGCCTGCTCAGTAAGGAGAAAGGCCAAGTCCCTCATGTTGAGCAGTACCCAGCCCCCAGGTACCTCAGTAGCCAATGGCAGGTAGCTGAAGTGAAGAAAGCCTATGTTGTGAGGTCTGACGCCCAGTGACAGACGAGACTCACCTATGAGAGGGCTGGGGAAGCCTCAGATAAAAGGAGTGTCTGAGAAACTTGCGTAACTATAAGCCTTTGCATCTGTCTGAATGCATTCCAAGACCAAGAATAAACGTATGTCTATTCTTTGTTCTCTACTGATGTTCACTTAGATGTCTTCTTGAAAACTTGTATGTGAAATAAATGTCTAAAATAAATGACTCCCATTGGTTTCTGCCATAATTTGAAGGGTGTTTTTCTATTAACAAAAAAGAAAACTTATCCAAGAAGGTGATAAAAGCTGATCATAGTAGCTCATAAAAAAGAATTCCAGCTCATTACAGTTCCCTGCTATTCCCACAAGAGGCAAGGATGTTTTGTGAGTGCACAGCTGTTCCTGGACAGCAATTTTCTGTAGTTGCCCCTGCCATTGTCCCCAGTGACAGTTGGCTCTAATGCAGTGGACTTAGCCTTGGCTGTATATGCTGTGTGTGATTCTGAAGAGGCACTCGCCCACAGCCTGCGTGGAAGTAGTCGCAACAGTTTCCCCAAAGACACAGCTGTTAGGGAAGGCAAAAATTTACTTTTAAGGTTTCTGGCTGGGCCTGAAGGTTAAATTAATAAAACATATCAACAGGAAAAACAACACAGATTTTTATAGGTACATGAGAGTCTCCACAATAAATGAAGACCCAAAGAAGTAGCAAAACCTAAGTGACCCTTCTCTTGCTAGGACATTGCTTCCAGATTACCCCAGCTTTGTCTCACATTAAAGGCACCATTCAGCCTGAGATGGTTGAGTTTGTCATCTCCAGGCTCCACTCCTGTGCCATAACCCTCCAGACCCTCAACCAGGAGCTTAAATGGAATGAGCTTGACGTGCAGGACAGTCACAGGAAGACGTTGGGGTGGCCCTGAGTGAAAAACTGACCAAATTTATCTGACTCCAATTTTTCTGAATCAGGCTCATTAAGAAGACATGTCATTTTCTCATCAAAGAACAGAGGTGTGTTGATGCCTCTGCCTCCACCTTCTGCTAGTCCCCATCAGCCTCACTGTTCATACCAGTGGCACTGACACCTTATACTACTTGCTGCAAACACTTCTTACTAACACCCATGGAATGTGTACATTTCTAAGTTCCGAGACTATGCTTGTTCAGTGATTTACATTGCCCTATTGGTAGACAACCATTCCAGAAAATGGTGTATTTTATCCCACTACCACTTCCTTTGGCAAAACTTTCTAATCTCAGGTGTTCCCCGCTGTCATGTCTACCTTGAGTATCAATGAGCTCTTGTGCCTCCACTGAACACTAACCAACCATTTAATACCTGATCTCACCCCCAAGGTGTGTGTCCTGGGTTTTGTTGTTCATTTTGCTGTTTTTGTTTGTTTAAATAGAGGTTACTCAAAGTTTTTAAAGCTTAACTTCATTCCTATTTCCAACACCTGAGAGATAAAGAAATAGAATATACAAACACACTTATTTTTAATTTAGGAAAATACAATAAATCCAGTACAAAACATATATAATGAACATCTAATGTATGCGTAAGAATGTAACAAATACATATGAGAAATTGAAGAGGTGTCTACGTACTCCTTCCCTAGTCTGTTTCCCTGTTCTCCTGAAGTCAACAATGATCTGATTCCTTTTGTTAATTTTCTCACTCCTTTGATTCTGTATATAGTTTTCCCCCACATATGTATGTTTCTTTAAACATTAGTTTTACTTGGTTTGAACTTTACAAAAATGCTGGACATTATGTTTCTGAAATTCAGCCATTGATGTCTCTACCTGATAGCTCTAGTTCATTTTCACCACTACATAGTCTTTGATTGTATCTGTTTTCCACACACTACTACCTTCACAACATTTCAAAGGCAAGTATGGGTGCAAAGCCCTCAGCAGAGTCCCTGGGGCAGAGTCAACACTCAAAAACAACTTTTGTTAAATTCTTGAATGACATTGAGCCCCAACTAAGTATAACAACTTATGCTTGTTTGTTCTGGCTGGATTCTCTGCCCTTCGGCCCAATGTTGAGAACCCAGCCAGCTCTTCAGCCCCAGGTTAATTCAAGTAATGAAATTTCACCTGGTTGAACAAGTAGCACCTAATGGTCAACTTCCCAGAAGGCATTGCGATGCTCTCTAAGGCAATTTGATGTGAGTACTGTCAGTGAACGGCTCAGCTGTGTGGGCGGGGCCAAAAGAGTCGTCCAATGAGCGCCTCCGCGGGCCAAGAGGGCAGGAAATTGCCCAATGAGCGTCATGGCAGAGGCGCCAAAAAGCACCAAGGCTGCAGGGGCAGCTGTTAAGTGCGGCGTCACTGAGCTGCGCCAGGCCTGATGGAGCCCGGCCCCTGTCGCCTGCCTTCTCCCTGAGGCTCGCTGCAGGCCTCGCCACCTGTGGGTCCTGCACCATGTTCCTGGTGGGCACAGCACGCCGCAACCTCCATGCCGCTGGCCTGAGGGAGCCCTCCTTCACCCGCTGTTCTTCCACCTCAAGCTGTGACACAGATGACGAAGGTGTGCGTGACACCTGCGAAGATGCTTCTCTGTGCACGAGGTGCGTGCTGGGTGCGGGGTTAGGGCCCGAGACCTAGGTGGGAGGCGGGCCTGTGTGTGAAGAATACGCTTGGACGCCCAAAGGAATGCGGTACCCGACTCGAGCTATCCTCGCTTCACACCTGTGAAGTGCACAGAGCAGGGGAGAATTGACGTGTTGTCACAATTATTGGTGAGAAAATTATTTTCAGTGTTACAGTAGGGTTAGGTTGATTTAATATTTATTGGTAATATTTTTCGCAAACTTACTTAAAAAAAGAAATTGGTTATAAAATAGTTCAGAGACAAAAGTACAGAGAAATTGTGTAACTAGAGCATGTCTTTCCTTGACTCTCTGTTGGATAGTTTCTATAATTATTATCGTAGAAAATATTTTTGTTTTATAAATTTAGTGTAACCTGAATACACAGTGTTTATAAAGTCTACATTAGTGGACAGTAATGTCCTAGGCCTTCACGTTCACTCACCACTCACACACTGACCCACCCAGAACATCTTCTGTTCCTGTAAGCTCCACTCATGGTAAATGCCCTATGCAGATGAACCATTTTTTACCTTTTATTTTATTTCAGCATATTTTGGGGGTACAAATTTTAAGATTTCAAATAATGCCCTTGTCCCCCTCCCCCCACAAGTCTGAGCTTCAAGTGTGACCATCTCCCAGACGGTGCACATCTCACTCATTATGTATGTATATACCTGCCCCTCCTCCCTCCTCCCACCTGCCCAATACCCAATTAATATAATTCTTATGTGTCCACTTAGGTGCTGATCAGTTAATACCAGTTTGCTAGTGAGTATATGTGGTGCTTGTTTTTCCATTCTTGGGATACTTCACTTAGTAGTATGGGTTCCAGCTCTATCCAGGAAAATACAAGATGTGCTAGATCACCATTGTTTCTTAGAGCTGAATAGTACTCCATGGTATACATATGCCACATTTTATGAATCCACTCATGAATTGATGGGTACTTTTTATTTAACCTTTTCTGTATTTAGATATACAAATCCTTATAATTGTGTTGCACCTGCCTACGGTGTTCAGTACAGTAACCTGCTGTAAAGGTGTATGGTCTGGGAACAATAGGCTATTCCATACAGCCTAGGTGTGCTAGCTTTCTGTAAGTACAGTCTTCGACTGCACAATGGTAAAATTGCCTAACAACACATCTTTCAGAATGTATCCCCATCTTTAAGCCTCACATGACAGTATGTACATGTGTACACAGACAGATACATACCAATACACACATACAAATATATATGCCTACTTTTTAAGCAGCTATAATGTGTTACAAGGGCAAAAAACAGGTGTGTGTGAGATCTAAATCTAGGTGAGCAAGTAGATTTGAAAAGCAATTGCCTTAAGTTTCCTACATTAAAGTTCCATAACTGAGGTCTCTACCACTGTCTGTGTACACTGCCTTCCTTGTAGGGTTGTTATGGGGGTTATATGTGCTCATATTCTTCAAGCATTTGGAATGCCTGGCACATATTCAGCCCCTCATGAGTGTGGATTAAAGAAGTGAATTAAATAAATAGATGAGGTATTAGGCTTGATTCTGACAGGCTGGGAGAGCAGGGAGGGCCCCTTCCCATTCCCTGAAGCCTCAGGTGATCCTGTTGGAGGAGATTTCACACTTTAGATGAAAGACTCATTGTTGCAATTGACACTCATGTGTACACAATCAGTAATGTCTGGAATAATAGGTGGTTGGGCCAGATTATGGGAAGGAATGTGAGATGATGCTAAACAACACAGAGACAGATGTTTCACATTTTAATAGTTAGGTATTTATTACTATATTGTGTTAGAAGAAAATATTAGGTAGCACATCAGACCTTAGTATTACAAGAGTGAGTGATTCAAAGACAGGAACATGTAGTATGTGAATGTCGCAGAAATTGAAAGTAGTAGTGGGTTGAAAGAAGCCTGAGAAAATCTTTGAAGTGTTTCCAAATCTGAGATTTTTGATTCTTTGAATCTGAGCTTTCCATATGAGATCAGGATAGACAAGTAGAAGAGATGTTCTCTGGGTTTTGTAAGCAAAGAATTGTAGTGGAAATTGACAAGCAGACCTTGATGCACAGTGTCATGGATGGTGCATAGATCCACTGCTATTAACATTGGTGTCTACTCTGGGCAGTCTTGTGCTTATGTGTGTGTATCTTCTAATAAGATGGGGACATCCTTTGCATATAATTTTGTAGCCTACTTCGTTCACCTGATACTATAACTCCATGTTCAGTGTTTTGTAGAGAAATGTTTGTGCCCAGTCTTAATGATTTCCTTAGAATAGTCATAGCAGTGGGATTGTTCAGTCATTGTGTATACATGTGTATCAGGCTTTTTATACTTGTTGCCACAGTGCCTTGCAGCATGATTGTGCCAGTTTATGGTCCTAGTAGTTCAAGTGCTTTCTTCTTCATCCCTCTCCAAAGTTAAGTTCAATTAATCAATTTTGTTGCCAATTTGATAGGATGAATATTGCTCTCTTTTTGTTTTCATTTTGCATTTTTTTAGATTATTGATAAGGCTGAACTTTTTGTGTGTTTATTGATCAGTTGTGTTTTTTTCTTTTGTGACTTGTCCCCAAATTAGTGTATTTGTCCTTTTATTTTCCTTCTTAGAGTTTAGAGTTGTTATTAATTTATAAGAATCCCTTATATTGTAAGGATACTAGTACTTTGTGATTATTACAAATATTTTGCCTGGAGTAATACTTGTCTGTCATGTTTGTTTATGATATTCAAACTTTTTTCTTGTGAAAGAAGCAGTATATTTGATTGATTCCATGACACACATGTATTTCCATTTAACTTCTTTGACATTAGATGTGATTTATTCTCTGAGTTCTACAGTCACTCTCAGTCATGTTAGAGTTGTGTATGCAGATGTGGTTGTATTCTGGGTGGCATGGCTTGGCAGCTGTGACCACAGCCCTGAATGCTTTAGTTCAAATACCATTTAAGGATCATTTGAAGGAACACAAATTCTGCTTACTGTTCAAAAACCATCTATTGATGCCTTCTGATGAGATCAAGAAAGAACCAGGGAGGGGGAGAGGCAAAATGGCAGATGAGAAACATCTCCATCCAGAGTGTCTCTGCAAGAAGGAGAAATTTTAGATGAAAGAGAAAAAAAAACAGACAAACATAGATCACATGAGGGTCAGAAGGAAGGGTGCCTGAACCTACGGGAGACTCCACGGGAAGAGGTTGTGGAGCAGAACTGGAAGGAGAAAGGTATTGGCAGGAATTAAGCCCTGAGAAGGTTAGAAACCAGTGAGAATGGTAAGTGGAGTGGTTAAAATTCCCCTCTCTGCATCTCAGACTGCTGGTGGGATCCTCAGCAAAGAGAAAGAAATAACCAAGATCAGAGCACAACTAAATGAAATTGAATAATAAATGAATAACAAAAACTATATAGAAGATTAATAAAACAAAGAGATGGTTCTTTGAAAAAATAAACAAAATTGCCAGGTCTCTTGCTAGATTAACCAGAAGGAGAAAGGAAAGGACTCTAATAAGATCAATTAGGAATGAAAAAGGAGAAATGACAACTGATACCACGGAAATACAAAATATCATCTCTGAATACTATAAAAATCTCTATGCACATAAACTTGAAAATGTGGAGGGCATGGACAAATTCTTAGAAGCACACAGCATCCTTAGGCTCAATCAGGAAGAAATAGAATTCACGAATAGTATGATATCAAGTACCAAAATTGAAACAACAATACAAAGCTTTCCTAAAATAAAAAAAAAGTCCTAGACAAGATGGTTTCACACCTAAATTTTACCAGTCCTAAAAAGAAGAACTGGTTCCTATCCTGAAGAAATTATTCCACCACATTGAGAAGGAAGGAATCCTCCCCAACACGTTTTATGAAGTCAACATCACCCTGATACCAAAACCAGGAAAGGACTCAAAAAAAAAAAAAGATAAAAGAAAACTGCAGACCAATATTTCTTATGAATATAGATGCAAAAATTCTCAATAAAATCCTAGCAAACCAAATTCAGGTGCTTATCAAAAAAATAATTCAAAATGACCAAGTGGGCTTCATCCCAGAGATGCAGGGATAGTTCAACACACACAAATCTATAAATGTCATTCACCACATAAATGGAAGTAAAAACAAAGACCGTATCTCTCAATAGACACAGAAAAAGAGTTTGACAAAATTCAGCATCTATTTATGAAAATGCTTAATAAAATACACATAGACGGGACTTACCTTAAAACAATAAAAGCCATATATGACAAATCCACAGCCAACATCATACTGAATAGGGAAAAATTGAAAGCATTCCCTCTTAGAACTGGAACCAGACAAGGTTGCCCTTTATTACCCCTTCTAGTGAGCACAATGCTGGAAGTCCTTGCCAGAGCAATCAGACAAGAGAAAGAAATCAAGGGCATCCAAATGGGGGCAGAAGGGGTCAAATTATAACTCTTTGCTGATGATATGGTCTAATATTTAGAACACCCCAAAGATTCTGCTATGAGACTACTGCAATTGATAATAAATTCAGCAAAGTCTCAGGTTACAAAATCAATGTACAGAAAGCAGTAGCGAGTAGAAATTAACCCCATTAAAAAGTGGGCAAAGGACATGAACAGAAACTTTTCAAAAGAAAACAGAATAATGGCCAACAAACTTAGGAAAAAATGATCAACATCTCTAATCATCAGGGAAATGCAAATCAAAAGCACAATGAGATATCATTTAACTCCAGTGACAATGGCTTTTATAAAAAGTCCCCAAATAATACATGTTGGCATGGATACAGAGAGATAGGACCACTCAATACACTATTGGTGGGACTGCAAATTAGTACAACCTCTATGGAAGGTAATATGGAGATACCTCAAAGAGCTAAAAGGTAGAACTACCATTTGATCCACCAGTCCCACTTCTGGGCATCTACCCAAAGGAAAAACAGTCATTCTATAATAAAGACATCTGCACTCAAATGTTTATAGCAGCACAA